CCGAGGGGGGGCTTCTCCGGGGGTGACCGAAGAAGGGCTTCGGGCAGAAGAGCTCGGTCCTTGTGAAGGTACGGGCTCCTAGCGAGAGGCCTGCCGGGGGGCGTCCCCTTCCCCTGGGCTGGCCGCTGCCGTCCGCCTGGAGATGGCCGGTGTGCGCCAACTCGCCGGGGAGACGTGCGTGCTCGGTGTCAGCCCCCAGTGCTCCTTTCACGCATAATAAACGCCGGTTTGGGGAGGGGGAGGGGAAAAAAAAGCGATGTTGGTCAAGTATGGCAGTATGAAGCACTTGTCTTGGCTTCCTCGTGTGCTTACACGACTGTCGTGAATGTTAAGCACCTGTTTGTACACAAACTTTTTAATACGTTGCCCGAGGTTACCAATTGACGCGACGAAAACGGTGGAGATGTGTCAGACTGTCTGTGGGACGCGCACTCGGAAAGGGACGGCAGCAGGGAGCGCTCCCCTGCGTGGGAAAGCATCGTGTGTCAGTGAGGTAGAAAACATAAAACGTTTAATGAAAGATAATTAACTACTTTATCGCGGACGGGTTTTAGAGCCTATTTTACATCATTGCCTCCAGTAAAGATAGGTGCGGGTTCTGCGAGACTTCTTCAGAGTGGTTGAGTTCCACCGGTTTCTGCTGGCTGCAGTGGGAGTTAATGCTGCTCCCTTGTTCTAAATCCCAAATTTTTTTCAGCATGCTGTTCCCTGCTGGGTGAAACTACAGGATTTTTGTATTACTCAAATGAAAAAAAAGATAAAAGCATGGTTTTCAGCTTTAAGGCATAATAGTAGAACAAAGATTAAAACGAAGAAACCAAAAACCCTCCCAGAGCAGTCCAAATAAAATAGTTGCATATATTTGACTTAGATATTTATTTAGTATAAATGTCTGCTTTTGATATTTTTTTAATTTAAGATATAATTATTTGTAACTGAAAAACTCTCTCAAATTAATTTTTCTCACTAGTTATTATGCAGTCATTGACTTGTACAAAATAGTTTACAAAAAAAAAAGCCAACAACCAAAAACCCCTAGGCAAGAGGGTGTGCAGAAGGGTGTGAAAATAATATTGGAGAGGAGATTAGAAATAGTGAGTAGGCGGAAATGGGAACAGAGATGTGGGCAGGGATTATGCAGTTTTCAAGGTGAGAACAGAGAACCTGAATTTGATGCAGTAAAAGGATGAGAAACCAAGAATTAGTCCTGAAATGGGATTGACCTGGAATATGTCTGGTGGCATTTTGAGTTCAGTGCTGCAGAGAGGTATGAGGAAGTGAGAGGAAGAAATTGTGCATAGTAAGATGCTAGCTGCTACAGTGACAACAATGGAAGTTGATTAGCGATCCATCTAAGAAAAGACTGTATGTTAATTGTCAGCAGAAGTCTAAGATGTGGACTGGAAAAGCAGAAAACACGTTTATTTCCTCTTTTACGTATAGGACAGTCTGTAGGTGTTATCCTTCCAACAACATTAACACAAAAGAGGGGATTAATCAGGTAATAACTACAGACTATTTATAGACTTCCACCACAGAACACGGTGAGACTTTCAAAGCTCAAATGTCAGCAGTGTGGAAATAAAGCAAAGCAGACAGAGATAAATCTGTCTTTCACAATATAATATCACTCTCAACATCAAGGTGAGATCAGGGCATGGGTGCAAGAAATCATCTGCAGTAAATTCTTAGTAAAATGAAGGTTAAACGTATTGGTAGGGGCCTTTAAAAACCTTGAACAGGTGATATGGTCCTGATTGGCCACAGTTATGATCACATCTTACTAACCACATTTTAAAAACTCCTAGACTAACGTGGAGTTCCCTTTTAGTAGATTTTATGGAGAAATCCATACTGCTTTTTTCTTTTGGCTAAGAGGCCACCTTACAGCCTTGGGTTGACAATGCAGCTCCGATAATGTCCACTCTTGTTTTGTTCTCTGGATTGTAAAGTGTCATGTATTTCTGTGTGAAAAATACATTCAAAAGTGAAGACCTTATGAACTGCATATAATTCACCAATGAATTCCCTAGCAGATTTTTTTTGAGTCTTTTAAAGTATGCCAACAAAACCTAAAGTTTCCCCTTCCTGACTTACCTGGTTTGTACTCATCTCATATGACCTCATTCACAGAGGAAATACATTCCTGGCACAAGGGAATTGTTTACTATAGAACTGTTTTCTCAATGACTGTGGAACTGGAAATTGAACGCTAACATAAACATCATTGCTTTCCACTCCAAACTGCAGTTGTACATAAAGCAATACTTAATTAATCTGACCTTCATAAATAACATTATAAACTGCATAATTTTGAAGAGCAAGCTGACCAATGTCTGTATATACCCTGAGCATGGGGAGGGAAAAAGAATGGGTAAAACATGCTCATTGCTTTGCTAATTAGTCTTTAGAAGATGTTTCAATACAAAAGGGATGTGTTTAGAGAAGGAGAGGCAATACAATACAAGTAGAAGAAAGCAGCCAAACTATAAGAGCTGTTGCAGCTGTGGTTTTCTGCTTCCTCAGTTTTGTTAATTTAAATCTTTCAACAGACTTTTGCAATAACAATATTGTGGGTTGAGATTCCAAAGTGTGGCAACTGAAGAATCAAAGTAGTCATTTAAACATGGAAACAAATTTGTGAATTGGTAATACTACAGCACAAATGGCTGATATTAGGAGTGTCCTTTTGACCTTCCTCTTAAAAGATAAACGCTCCCAGAACAAACCAGGTACACATAAAAGAAATATGGCTTGTTTTAAGATGCCTTTAGGAGAAGGGATGAAGTTTTAGGAGAGCAGGTAGCAAGGTTGCAGCCTCCAGCCTCTGGAGTTACTTGTATTGTGCCTGACTATTCACCTGCTGAATTTTCTGGCTGCGTTTTCTGCGTATTGGGAAGGGAGACCAGGATCTATAGGCTACACTCTGATAAAGCTGGAGACTTCTTGATGTGATTTCCATCCAGCCTGTCCCTCTGCATTTAGAAAAAGAAATAGCAGTGAAAGAGTAACTTCTATGGCCAAGGAAAACAACTTAACTTGCTTTCTTTTCTAGCTTTCCCCTTTTTTTGTAGCAAGCATAGGTGTGGCATCCAACAGCCCTCTTAAGAAATGAGCGTTAATGGTTACAAGGGGTAATTCTGGGATTACTATGAAACTCCAGGTTTTAGAATAATGGCAGCCTAAACAGGTGGTTCTGGTGAACCAACTTTCTTGATCCCATATCCCTTGAGGAAGAATAGCTAATAGGAACTTACGAGCTGCTGTGCTTGATCAGAAAAGGATCTATCTAACATACTGTCTGTCCCTGACAGTTGTCCTTAGAGGATACTTGGGAAAGAGGAAAGAAATGATGGGCTGTATATGATGGTGACTAACGTAGTGCGACTCAAATACGTATCGCACCCAGTTGTCTGCCTGGCTGTGCTTCCCCAAACAAAAAACCAGGCCCCCAGTAGCAAGACAACAGCTTTTGTACTGGTCATCACACTGGGCAGAGATCATAGAATTGTCCTTGTATTGCAGGGTAAAACAGCTCGCAGAGTGCTACCCAGGCCAGAATACCCTGTCAACATACCCTCTCTGCTGGCTGATCTTGTGGGTCTTCCTAGAAGAAGATTTCCAGCACTGCCAAACTCGGCATGTCATCCAGGAGATGCATGCTTGCTTGCAGCAGGGACAGATCCCAGCGCTCTCACAGCCACCAGCTACTCCAGGTGCCCTTATCACAATGAACTTGGGCAGGGCTGATGGCCCAGGGGCTTCTGCAGAATCGCTCCCCGAGGCTGCCAGCACGAAGGCAGGTGGTATTTGTAGGCAGCCCGGGCTCAGGTCAAACTGAGGCTGCCTGCTGGGAGCAGAGCAGGTGTAGGTGGCTGCTCATGTGGTACAAAAGCAGGTGATATGTACATATGTAGCCCAGCCACCAGCCTACTTTCTCAGGGCTTCTGCAGCTGTTTTGGGATGAAGACACTGGAAACAAAAATGCTGAAAGCACTGTTGAAATGAGATTTTTGTCTTCACACTGTTCTTCAAGCTTATTTAACTGTTTAATGTGTTTGCCATAGTTGTTTAAAAAAAAAAGGCAAAACAATATCCAAAATCAACAACTTGTAAATTGTAAGCCATTATCTATTATAATTAATTTATTTTTTATTTTATGCTGAAGAAGTAAGTGTACTGGTATTTTGCATATTGAGCAATAGATCTATTGAAACAAAATTAATGACAACCCAGTAGTAAAAGGAAATCTTTGCTGTCTAATTTAAAAGGCATAAATTAAACTTGGGTCCAAGATGATCTTGAAGTTAATTTAGTATCTGTGTTTCCTTTCATTATTTGGTATACCTACTTATACCAGACTTCACACTTGGAGATAAGAGACTCCTTTAACTTGCTAAGTGTTCCTAGGGACACTGTGGATTGT